ATCGGTTGTATCGCGTTCACAATTTTTAATTCTAAGACGATGCTAAAATCATATTTGCAATCGTATTCATTTTCCATAAATCAGAATCTTCTTCTGAAAAATTCAGTGTAAATTTGTAATCTTTCAATATATTGTTTTAAATGTTAGGAAATTAAATACTCTATATCCCTGTAAGTATGTATAGATTTCTACATTATGCATAATAATTTTAAATCTTTTATAAGAACCTTCCATTTTTATATTAATGCCTCCCACCATTCACAGTTTCCTGCTCCTTTTTATTCTTCTATTAAAAAATAATAAGGCTTACCCAACCTGAGAAAATAAATACCATAGATGGTTAGAAATTTGTTGTTGCTACGCGGCTCATTTTTTCATCTCTGTTACGATGCGCATAGAGTTTTTTCTGTTAATTCTAAGTTTTGGCGTGGAGCTTCCATATATCACGAATTCCAATTTCTTCATCGTAACTTACCGCGGATTAGGTCTTTAGTGATCGTGGTGGAAAGCACTTAGGGCATGAAAACTTGCATTTCTTGTCGGAGAGCCCACCCAAGAAAATAATTATTAGCTGCAAACATTCATTATAATTCTCTCTGAGTTGTTCTTAGTTTTACAATGTCCGTTGAGATTTAGATTGTACTTTTTACTATCGTCCCTTGAATTGTTTGGCGGATATATTTGATTTCATTGCCGCGTACAAAAATCAATTTATTAATGACTAACCTAGGATCTTAATATTTTCGAGGAAGTAAACCATTTGAACCGGAAGACCGTACCATTTCCTCGGAGAATTTACTTTGTAAAATATATGTTATATATTCAAGGCTAACATAAAATTCCTGTTTTTAATTTTTGTTCAAAATGAACGAAAGTTCTTTGGTAACTTTGGTTCTTTCTCAGTATTAGTGTTACCAAGGCACAATACAGAATTGAAGCCCCTAATATGCTATGACATGCTATGGCAAATAAAGCTATTATTGAAAATGTTTAACTTTAAAATGAAAACATAATTAATAGGAGAAAATTAAACTTATAAAATTGTACTCGTTGTATTACAAAATTAATTTAAATAACAGCTTTTCTGGACGTTTGCTTTGAAAACTTATTAACAATTTCTTCGTAGTCTAAGATATTAACTATATCATTTTCGATGATTATCAGAGACAAATCATTTAAATGTGTAGTTGGGTTAAATCACTTCTTAAATAATTTGTTACTCTCTTTAAAACGAAGAAGGATCTTTCCCTGCTCGCATTACAAATTGGCATGGCAATAAATATTTTTAAAACTATTTTCACATTAGAGAATGTAGATACAAGTTCATTGTGTATAAATTTATACACATCTTCGGGGTTTAATATGACTTCTCTTTCTGATACTTCAAAAATTGGCGAATTTCATCTTGGAACTGTTCTGTATTAATAGCTTTATGGTAAATATTCTTCAAATCCTCGATTTTGCAAATTATTTCTTCTTTTAGATTAAAGTCGAAAAATATTTAAAAATTTTCCAGTTCGTTGTTGTAAACTTTTTTCCTTTCCCGTATTTCTTGCAGAAGAATGTCAAATATGACATAATGTACATTAACAGTTCATTCAGTTTCATCTACTTTCTTTATAATTTGTATTTTTTGATAGTACATTTGCAGCATTTTCTATAAATTCAAGATTGTTCCTCACATCGTTAATAAATTTTGATAAGGAATTAAGTAACTTGGTACCATTTAACGAATTAGATTTAATATCTTGTAAAGATTTACCTGTTCGTTTTATACTATGTAATAATTTATCATATATACTAATACTGTGCGAGATATTCATTATTATTATATGAGCCGTTTATTTTGAAAGTGGCATAAGTCACTTTATTTTTAAGTCGATATA